TCCTGAGCAACAGAGCCAAGAGGAGGTTCAATTTTGGCGATCTGAATGGATGAAGGAAGCAAAATGGCGACTGGAGGACTACGACCACATGCAAAACACCATGTTTCTTCTGGAAAATGCCAAAGTAAGATTCTTCGACTCAAGATCAAACCTCATTTTAATCATGTGTTCATGGACATCCACCTAATTTGTAGCAAGGTACATACAATTTGTATCTCTTGTGATTTGCTCTATGTTCTTTGACATCAGATAATTGGAAGGCCGCCCTTAGTAGGAACATGTAGATTTTTATACAGTAATTATGGCACAACACCAAGAGCACAGTTTGGGTGGAACTTCATTCAGTATCTTCAGGAATTTGTTGACTGAATACAATGCTTATTCGTATTGGTAGGTTGAACCTTGACACAAAACTCTTGTTGCGAGCCAGTGGTGTAGTGAGCGGTCATGGCGGAAGTATTTGGGGGCAAACTGGAAGAGGCGATATTGGATAGGCACTATGCGAAGGTGCCACACGTCACCAAGGGCGGTAGGCATAACTGGAAATGCCTACTGCAAGGTTGTCCTTTCCCAGGAACATATTTCCAAAAAAATTATATTGAAAAGCATTGGAGGAAAGACCATGTGGACTGTCATCTCCAAATTACCCAGAAGCTTCCACCTGGACCAAAGACGACTGGAGTTTCCAGGAAGGCTGACAAGAAAGAGTTGATTGACTCTTGTGACAAGCATTTTGGTAATTTCTGTCAACGTTGGATCAAGCACAAGCAAGATAAGTTGGACTTCTTTCAAGGCGAGGTATGCAATTCTTTTTTTGGCAAGTTTTTTTTTTCTATTTGCATTGTTTATTTCAAATTGAATTCAAGTAGACTTCCACAAATAATCTGAGATTTATTATGTTCAGATTGCAATAACCGTATATATGTTGCAGAATTGACAGTTTGAGTTGTGTGTCTAGATTATTAAGGGGTATTTCGACCAAAAAATATATTCTCTAATGACGGGAGAGGATATAGGAGAATTGGAGGAACCTCCAGTGATTTTGAGGGCCATGAGACTCGTATGCAAGAATTTCCTTCCAGGTTGGAACATGTTGAGAATTCCAGAGTTTTCAAATTTTGTCTTTGATCATCTTGACGAACTACTGGATCCCTGTAGGAGAAAGGCACAGTTCGTAGATTCTATTCAAGAGTGGGTGAAGGGAGAGCACGCCAAAAACAGAAAGAGCAGTCAACGGCGAGGTATGAAGAAGTCAGAGATTGACATTGACGAAGTTGAAGTCATGGAAGATCTTGTGGCAATCTTGAGTGCAGATGACAGTTGCAGCGATTTGAAAGCCGAGGCAAAAGAATGGATAGTATTCTGTGGTAAGTACAGTTGGATTGAACAATCCAACTGGAATCCATCTTTGGAATGTAATAAACGAATAATCTTGAAATTTCTAGATTATCTCTATAGTCCAACGGGCAGGAAAGCTAAACTTGATCTTGGAGAAACCGTTTTGAGAGGTCGAATGAAGCGCATGGCAGACTTGGGTGTCATCGAAGATGAAGAGACAGCTCGGACAAAGGTCAGACATTCTTACTCCTGACGTAAAGATTTTCCAATTTGTAATGTTTATGTTACAATTACAGATATTGCAGTTTGGATATGATCTAAGAGTATTGTGCTTGTAATTTTTTTCAGGGTGAGATTTCAAAATCAGCTCTTGATGAATCAGAGATGTATGGTTCCGTAGAGCCCATACATCCATTTTTTATGTCTGTACATATATCACAGGAAGTTGAAAAGTGGGGAGCGAAGGTTGAAGTCAAGAGGATGGATGCAAAAAAACGAAATCTTCTCTTGGAGTGGGGAGCGAAGTATACGGCAGACGAACTTTATACGGCAGACGCCTCATATAAGATCCGTGTCAACACACTTGAAAACAAAGGGTCGGTAAAATGGGCTGTTGCTGCCAACAAGTGGTGGAATAAAGTTGAACTGTTTGCAACAGCGATGTCTCTTGTTAAGGATCTTAGCAAAGGACCAGAACGTGATCGCGGCGGGAAACGTGCAAGTAAGATCGTTCCCAAGCATTTTCTTTGAGCTTTAATTTTAACTGAAATATGTTGTATCAAAATAATAATATCTGCGATTGGGTTGCTATTATTACAGATAGGAGAACTCGTTCTTCAGATGGTAACATGGATGTAAGCGTCAAGAGAAAGCCACCTGGTGAGAGGACACGACGTGCTAACATATGGCGATGAGTTGAAAGTCGTACGTGGACTTCGATACTGGTTAGTTTCACTTACAAAAGTCTTAAATGGCAATTTTCATACTTGTTTTTTTTCCCACTCTACCTAGATAGGCTCCAATGTGGCTCAAAAGAAGTGGTACGGGGTTTTTTCTCCTCATTTCTTCCTTGTAGTTGGTGTACTTGTCCTACTTTCGAAGAGGAGGCGGATAATTATATGTATTTTCAATCGGTGTTTCAGATCGCTATGCTTTTGCTTCAGTAACCATGGTAGTGTAGTTGCTTCATTCTGGAACTCGAAATCTGCTGATGTCAGTCTGAACTGGATCCTTAATGTATGGTTATCCTTAACGTATTTATAAAATCACCGTTCTTGGATTCTGGGACGGTAGATCAGTATCTGATTATAATTTTGCTTTTTCTGATACAGCTTTTATGGTGTCAACGAAGGATGCAAGTGCGATGACAAGTCCTCATGCAACCCTTGCAATTGCAAATGAGAGAGAACAACTCCAATTTATGCTGTTTATATTCCACGAAGTCATCCTCAGTCGACTGAGGATGATGAGCTGTAGCGAAAGTTTTGCAGATCATGTATGCAGTGGCTTTAGGACGCACTCATCACTTTCTGGAAGTTTGACTGTGCTTTCAGTTGACAGTTCGCAGCTTTAGAGTTTTTGTATCGGAACAAAATTGGAATAGAGCTACATTGTGCACTACACATTAATTTTTCTGTACACTCGGATTTTTCTACCGTCTCAGACTTATTTGAATTATGAATTTGAAGCCTTGGAGGCTAATTTTGAATCTTTTTGTATTGTGAGATGTAAGCGTGGTTTTTAGTACCAGTTTGGTTCATGGAAGCTGTAAGTTAGGAGATAGTCAATCTACATGGTGGCACACAGGTCGAAAGCAAAAATATAGGGTCACATGAAAGGGAGAGAAACATACTCAACAAATCTAGCTCAATGATAAGAGATACAAAGAAAAGGAATCGGGACTACCTTCTCCATAAAAAGTCATTTCTTGTTCAAACAATATCCCCCGCCTATTTCTGTGTGTTTATAAACGCAGAGATGTGAGATGTAATTGTGAAACATATAGCTCATTTTGTATTAACTGCTGTCGGGTGAAGAAACTTACTGTATGTTCCGACCAATTTTAATTGATGTTTGAATTTTTTCATAGATATGGATCAAACTTCGATTGCGATTCTGCTTTGTATCGCAATGTAACTTGATCACTGAACTTGACAACTGACAAAGGAAACATGCATAGCTTGGTAAAACTCCTTAATATGTCACATTTTCATATCACTTGTAGGTGCTCTTCTCTCCGTCGTCGTGTATTTACCCTCCATTCATTTAGAGGAGCAAGATCTGTTGCCCATATGAGGTCCAGGTAAATATCTGAACTTGTTACATCCGATTCCGTGTACGCTTGAAACGCTCATATACCCGAAATTGGAATCAATAGTTTAGATTCAACACTCGGTACTATGGAATTTAATAGATGATCTATACTCTTGAGAGACGTGAAGTAGCACTTGCTCAGCCAGGGCGAGGAGTATATGGTCTTCAGGTCATAGCAGGTTCATATCAACGGGTACAGTTTGTATAAATGTTACCATAGATCAGAAAAAGTGTCAGGAACTTAAAAGATTGTCACTCTCTCTTATATCCATACATAAGAATAGACTAAGCTCAAACACGTCTCAGACATCCTTTTAGTAAGAGTTTGGTTCACCGACATATCTCCCTTCCGTTCAGAAATTGAGCAAGAGCCCTCGAAGATTATCAAAGAAGAAGAATTTTAATCAGATTTGGAACGTTGTTGTCAGGTCTCCATGTACCGTAATGTTGGACTTTACCTGTGACATAATTAATACTCTGCTGTAGATCATACTGAAACTGAAATGAATGTAACCAGATAGAGAGGACCCGTCAAGATATTAAATTCTGCACGCCTCCTTATTACCAGTTTTCTAGACAGAGTGTGACTAGCCCAGTAATACGTGTAGGGCATGAATCTCATATTTTTTCTGCTGTAAATTTCACTCGGAATGATCTGATCCATCTGAGGTCCAAACTTTTGACCTCTCAGATAACCAGTTCTACAAACTCCTCGTATGCTCATAAATGATGGGCTTTGCAAGTTCTTCTTGGCAATGAAAATCTTCTTATAGAAGATACCCTCAATTCATGACTTACTGATCATGAGTGTTACAGACTTAACCAAGAATCTCAAGTGCGTTTTTTCTTTTGTAGCTTTAAGTACAGCACTTCAAGAATCGTCTCTTGTATATGCGAGTTGCTTTGGTTTGACCATCAGCCGGTCTTGATGTTGCTGGAGTCGAATCAAATATCGTCCTCTTCAGTGCATAAATTTGTTCTATACCAGTATATACCGAGGAAGATAGTTTGCCCATTCCTGCCATTTTCAGATGAGTCATTCATTCCGGTTGAGGGCATCTCATGGTTGCCGGGTCCGCCGACCCTCCCCGCAAAGTGTTCTTATAGTCCATCGTTAGATCCGTCTGCCGGAAAGCGGAGCGATCTAATTCAATCACTTTGATGCTCCACCGGAAAATTGAGTGCCAATGAAAAACCTGCCCGCACAATCTTCCATCTTTGGTCCAAAAGAGGAGAGTCGCAGCGAAAAGAAGAACTTCCGTCACGGGTCACTGCAGGATGACACCTGCCTCGGTCTATGAAGGCCCTATATAGGGGCTATGTATAAGTTTGTGCAGCTAAACCCGTCCAGAGAATAGAGTGATGGCGATGTTTTAGCCCCGGTGCTGTTAATGTGTAATCTAAGATCATCAAACCATGTGGCAGTGCTCAAGTGCAAGCATCTGATAAAGAGGTAACCGAGCAGGCCAGAAAATGACATGATCTCAATGTGAACATAAGCGTCGGACATTTTCTCATTGGTATATTATCAGACCTACCATTCGGCTTATCGGTGGTCCCAAATATATAATAATAATAAATTCTTAATTCTTAACTGGCCCTTCGTCTTCAGAGTGAACTGGTCTCGTCATGCATGCATGCCATCACGCCTCCTTGTGCACAGTCGAAAATCATAGTCCCTTCGAGATCAACGTGGTTAGTAGGGCCTCTCTCCGACGTAGTTGCCAGGAGGATCGTAGTTGCAGCCGACAAACGTACCTCCTCCAGGACATGAGGCCGAGGCGCAACCGACTCTTTGCGTCGACCTCCAGACGACCTGCGCATCAAGTTCTCAGAGTCTCAGATCATGACCACCACATTCATCATATTCAATCTTCACAGCCAAGCATTTGGCCCGGCGGACAATTGCTGCAGAATTGAATGGACTGTTCTGCTTTGATCTGCTCGCACCTGAGTGTAATGGCCACAGACTTTGCCTGCGTTGCATGAATTTGTCGAGATGGAGTAGTCGTTCTTCTCATCGACCCATGCTGCCACGGCATCGGAAGGAGGGCTGCTGTTCGCGCTTGTCCAGTACAGATTCTCACCGTAGCCACTATCGGAGTGGACGAGGCGACAGTCGTCTGTGTTCGCCTGGCTGTTGGCATGATCCTGAGCGAATTGGGCCAGGTCGTCGTCCCACTGGAGGTCCGGAACGTTGACCTCTCTGCGCGCTTCGTTGTGTGGATCCACGTACTGTGAAGCTATGGACTGAGCACAGACTGGGCCGATCGAAACGAGTATGAGAGCAAAAGCGAGAAGACATATTTTCGAATCCATCATGCATCTGCCACTTGTGCTGCTTACTTCTGGAGCTCGGAGCTTCACCTTTTATACAAACACTTCTGGCACACCTCAAGATCGACTCTAGCATGTGGTTGTCGTTGTCGTTGTGGACGTGAAGCGCATGTCATTGTGGCCTCTTGACCCCGGTAGACATTTCAGATCATACCACGATCGATCAGTCTTTCTTCTCGTCTCGCCCTCGGTACGTCTTGTCGTATTTGAGACCGAGGAGATTCAGAGGTGCTTCACAGATCTCCGTGATTTGTTTAGCGAGTATGGTGATCATTCGTGTGCGGGAGGTATATCTGATAATGAGCAAGTTCAACGTGGACCGGAGGTCGTTTCTTCAAATTGATCTGAGACCTCTGCGTTTTGCACTTTTTAGAGTTGGATTTGTAACCAGAAGAAATACTCTACATTCAATTTTGTTCGGTGAAACTTCCATCCCATCAAAAGCTGCACGTCAGGAAACCACTTCACCCTTTTCTATCTCCAAGTTTTGAGTGGTCAACAGTGTAGCCTACTGTGTCAAATTTGCCACTGCGATTGACATGTTCTGGCACGGTGTGCACCGAAAAGCATGATGTCGTCATGTGGATCTGTTCAATCTTCATCAGTCTCATCTTGCAATTGAACCACAAGAACCGCTTGAAAGCCACACTCATTTGGCTACCTCTAATGCTCGCTTTCGCTGTCAACGCGTCAAGTCAACAATCATTATCCTCGTAGGAACTCATTCATGGTTACAGTTTTGTACTCCACAACTGTCATTCTCGTCCTCTGCCATCAGTCTGACCTGACTGTGACAATCCTCTCTTAGTCCTGGTCTGCTGATATTCTTCGATTTCTGATGGAAATTACCTGGTATAATCATTGTCGACTAACGATCAAGTCCTCCGGTCAACTGACCTTTTCCGTTAATCCTGTTACTTCAGATTCTTTATTAGCTTATTTTTCCGCTTAACTGTTTCTATTCCCTCAATAGCAATTCTCAACACGGCGGTGTGCATCACAAGATTTCATTTCCAATCTCCTTCTCCCGACACTTCCAGCAAACAAAGAAGCTCACTGCAGTCTCTGCTGACTTCTCCAAATTTCTTATACCCAGGACTTTATCGTGGTTTGGTGACGCACATATTCACAGGAATGTAGAAGAAGTAGAGCTGTTTAAAACAGGTGAGAGGAAGGAAGCCAGTTTTGAACACGACAGGGCCGAGGAAGCTTTTTCTCTGCTGCAGACTCTGATCGGCTTTAAATCATTGCCAAGAAATTTAGAGATGTGAATCAGTTCTTTGATTCGACATGCACGTACAAGTTACACTCCAGTGACCATCCCAGCGTATACATAGTTCGCTTGCTTGATGGGCATAAAAACCATCATTGCGGTCAAACCGCAATCAGAGATCGCAATGCTGGAACAAGTAGAAGATATAAAGCGCTTCAGTGATATGATTTTACGTACAAGTAACAGCATTGATGTAACGGTTTACGGGCTGGGGTAGGAGATGCTCGAGCAACCAGCAGGTATTGGAGTGACCTACTTTAGCTATCCAGTGCTATAATCGACACCGAACATTAATTCTGATCTTATCTACAAGACCCTCACAATTGAACACTCCCTCACGTATGACACTTTGCGTGTCACGTCTCCTTCTGAGGCACGGTGACATCAGCCCAGTGAATAGTTGTTTATGTGTTTCTTGGAGATTTCGTCAATCCAAATCTACATGCTTGCTGTCCGACCTGTGCGTTGGACTTCCCGGGCCTCTTTCTCTTTCTTGTTTTGGTTGTCTTCAAAAGCGTTTCGTTCTATAGAGACATGTAGTAAATCCACAGATTTGATCTCCGATCAAAACCTGTGAATAATACGAGCTGAAGTATGTGGCAAGGCCTGGGTTTGTGTTGGTCAAAAAGTTCATTCTCAAGTGCACTTTGTGCACATTATCGTTGTCCCATTTCCATACGAAACTAACAACGACTGACTTCGAGAGTGGAGTCACAAGGTCTCCATCACCAATTGCGAACACGGAGCTGCGCTCTGTTAGAAGATTATTCACGTCTCACACATGGAATATTTCATTGTGTCACTTTGTTGGCACGTCATGTAACTGGCGGTGCACGCACGAATCACCATATCCGCAATCTAGAGTGTAGGAAAGGCTGTCAAAAGCACTAGATTTAGATTCAAAACAGTGTCTGACGGTTGGTTAGAGAATCCAGCTGATCAGAGGAGCTGATGTAGATTTGCATATGAAAGAGAACAAGAAATGTCCACTCTGTGAAGATGATACTCGGTTGCTTGCTTTGCTGGCGTTCGGGCGTTTTATCCTCGCTGAGAAGATGCCAGCAATCTATGGCACTTGCATTATACAGTGTGATTGTCGAATCTTGCTTGAAGTAGTGAGCAAATATCACTGTCTGTGGCACCATATGAGCTTGGGCTCGAGCTCCTCCCGTGCTAGATCTGTCAGGCATTCCATTGACGAGGGCCACAAGGTTCCCGGGTGCAGGATCATCGGTGGGACACACGACCTTCACTTGAACTCGCCAAGCTTTGTTGGAATTTTCGCGGCAGGATTCGACCAATCAATTGAGCTCTGAGTATATAAGAGATCCCGATTCCCATCCCAAATGTAAACTTGGGCAAATACAGGTGGTAGGTCAAAGGGGAAGTTCTTAGAAAGGCGTATCTCTCGAAATAGAACAAACTCTGCAGAAGCAGTGATGGCTGGCACTATTGACTCATGTTTTGATAGTAGCATTCGTTGTTTTTCAATTCGAACAGTGTACACAAATTAGAGACAACTCTGCAATGCTATATCCCAAAGCTTAGAAGTTGACTGATCGAGCTCACTGTTCCTTTCAGATCTCGGATCCTTGTACTTTCTAATCTAGTCAAGATAACACTTTCAATTATGAGAACTAACATATTGTAGAATTAATATGAAGGTTAGAAAAGTGAAAGAAAGATATAAAATACATTTGGGCACTTATGTTCCAGCCAAAAAAAAAAATGTCGCGATTGTCGACTTGCGCTGTGTTGCAAGTCGGTGCCGCCGTGAATTATAAAATGGAGGCACTCACTTGATTCCACGGAACTAAGACTGTGTTGTATTTGTAGACAATGTTCCCGATATGATTCCGGCAGTCACGAGACTAGATGAAGCTTTGACCTGCCGACCGCTGAGTACAAGCACTCATCCTTGAATCTGCTGCCATAATTTCAAAACTAGTGAGTTGCGAGCATCATTTACAGACTTCATACATCGACACCCATTACAGGGTCCGCATGGAAGTTTGTAGTACCAGTATCCAGACATGCTCCAGGATTCTCATCTGTTCTTGCACTTGCTTAGGGAAATTGACGAATGCTCTCGCTTTGACTGACATCACACATTCGAGCCGTAAATAAGCTGTGAGGTGTGAGGTCGGTGTTGGCTGTGTCCTCTGTCGAATGGATCCACAGATGGAAGCTACGAGAGGCGTAGACAAATCGCAGACTCGCAAAGCCTGAGATCTGGTGATCTGGAGGAGACAATGGTGGGGAAGTTCTTAACTTTCTCTGCTGGGTGCAACTTCCTTGCCATACATAGGAAGAACGATCGAAGATTGTGTACAGAATTCAAGTATCGTCAGCGGCGACAAGGAGTTAGCAGGCTGGTTTAGAGCGAGCAGGCAGGACAGGGCGGCGGCTAGATGAAACATGATTGGGGCTGATCATGCAGCAACCAATAGCTGCCGCTATTGCATGACTCTCACCGTTGCTCGAAGCCGTCAGCTGACACATTTAGCTCTACACATTCCTGCGTACAGCCAAGATGTCGATCGCCATGCACTGATCATGGATGGACTGGCCTGGCAACCGATGAACAAACGAAGCGGAAGATAACAGAAGCGACGGCAGCACGTGAAGAGTTTCCCGGCCGAGCCAGCCGCCGAAAACAAACTGCCCTTTCCTCTTTTGAGAGTCAGCGGTATCTGGTCCTGCAAGGATTGGGGCCTAGCCCCATCCCTCATGCTTTCTATCTCGGTTTCAAGGCGTAACACTTTTGCAAGTACAGTACTGCTAAGTTTGACGAGAACATTCATTCCTTCTGACAGTTGTGTGTCTTTGCAAGATGAAAGCCGCGCAGTGTCTCAAAGACTCGTAAAAGAAGGGAGGGAGTGCTGAGGGTCGCAAAACGAGGTGCATGTTGTACTGGAGTTGTAGAGTATTCCACAGGTTTGTTTCAACTCAGGAAAAGTCTACAGCTTTTGGCCATTACATTTACCATACATAACAGATGAATGCGATGTCCCACGGTTAGAACACTAAGCTTTGTGACTGAGACATGTCGTCGACTTTCTCATCTACACTCCTGAAGAAAACACTGTTTTCCTTTCTCCCTTCCATCCTCCATGCGTACGATGGATGGACGAGCGATCGAGCCGAGAATCTTTGAGCTCCGAAATTGATGTACAGCAGCTGATATGGTCTCAGACTTCCGGCAGATCTGAAAGGACCTGAGCTTTCGAGCTTGTCGTCCACGCTATGCACATAACGGCACACATCAGACTCTTTTTCATTGATGGTACATTACTTCTTTATTCCTGGTTGTTAGTAGTGACACTTCTTACATGACATGCTTACAGAATAGAGTTTTTATTTTCTTTAAACTATATACACCATGCAGGGATGAAGGTAGGTGAGGGCCCCTACGCTTCCATTATCTGGAATAGTGTGGATATGTTGCCTAACCTTGTCACTTTGGATGGGAAGTTTTCTCTACATGTATGTTCGGTTGCCCTATCTCAGATAGACAGATCTTGGTCATCACGAGTGAGAGCTATAAATAGTTCAAAGCACCAGGTGACCCAGTTCTCTGCCCGCAGTATGGATCCCACAGTTCAGGAGTACATCTCTGACCTCTTTTGGAATTACTGAGATTCTGATTAGAGTATGTGAAGTTTTTAATCAAGCCCGCAATGTGATGTCAATTCGTTGTAGTATAGTGGTAAGTATTCCCGCCTATCACGCGGGTGACCCGGGTTCGATCCCCGGCAGCGGTGCTCGTGCGACTTCCTACTCATATTATTTTGATCCTTTGCCCATCAGACGATGGGCAGTTTAATGTTACTAAAACAAAAAGACAAGCACTAGACTGATGTTATAGTCTTGTTCAAACACTTGTCCCTGTCATACTCAGTATACGCGCCACCCAATGACTTTGGGTGGCCGTCACATATTCTTTTGGAGAAAAGAAGTAGTAAATTAAGGGTTGGCAAATATGAATTCAATTGCTACCAAAACATTGTTAGTTGGCGCGAATGCATGACCCAACTGGGTTACCTGGTGCGGAAATGAGACCTCCTGAGTATGGCTTCTCACTAGACACCTAGCCACCTACACCAACATTTCATGCTCAGCAGCTAGAGTTTCCACTCAGAGATGTCTTTATTGGCTCTGCTCTTTCACCCGTTACTCTTCTTCCGCTCAGATGGGTGAATACAGTATGAAGAATACGGATGAAAGACATCATATCTCAAATCCTCAATTGAGAAGTTTGCTCATTGATCCAATTTACTAATTGCATGTCTGATTGCATCAAATATCTTCTCAGGTAATATATATGGGATTTTGGTTGTCCTTGTTCTTCGCTGCAACAAATATATATTTTTCATATGATCCTCCATAGATTTAGTCAAACAGTTCTGGACATGTACTTGAGATCACATTTCAAACGGGAAGAGATTTGATCTCTTTTCATTTCGATCTTTTTATAAGTGCATCAGAAACAAAATTCCAGTATCTGTGAAGTTAATACATATAACAGTTTCTTTCAAGCAACTTACATCCTTTGTACTGAAGCAGAACCGTAAATCAATCTCCTCAAAAACCTCCGCACCCTACTTCTAAATACCACTGAAAGTTTCACACCAATCTACTTATCATAAATATTTTATACTGTCAAAATCTGTAAAATGTCACTAACCGCTGCTTTTTTCCCATACTTCCAGGTGATTTCATATCTACTATGAGAAGATTGAATGCGTCAATTTCTGATTGTAACTTGTGGTCGATGAATGGAGTGTTTCATTCAGTTTTTTGAATCTTGATTTCATATTTACTTCAAAGATGAATTCACTTTTTAGAATGTGGAGCTCAATATTTACCAAATTTTGTATCAATGTAGATGTTCATGAGACGCAAGTTGATATCGGAGCTAAATGTTTCCAAGAAGAATGTGACCTGCTCTCGACATTATCTACGCCTTTTCCTTGATGGATACGAGATCTATGTCGAGCAAGGAACGTCCCACAAGTATGTGGATGTTCTGATGTTACGTTCGAAGCATAAATCAAGGTCGGAGGCTCTGCAATGTGTAATGAAGCATATCGTCCAAGAGTTGATATCATTTTGCGCATCATCCAAAGGCTGTCCAGGAGTAACGTTAGTGCTGGGTGTGATCCAAACACGTTGCGTGGAGATGCTGGATCCGAGTGATCTAAGAGGAGCCATTCTGATTGAAGAGCTCAAATCAAACTTCATTCGTAGCATCAATGACAAACTTGAGGATATTCTGTCGGATAGGTTGCATTTGGTGAAGGAAGAAGAGTTGTTCAACTATGAGCACTCTTGGCCCTCGATTGACGGACACACACTGGTAATATCTGAAAGAGCTAGGGATTTGCTGCGGGAGAGCGATGTGGAAGCGGTTGTGAATGAGATCCAAAAGAAGTACGTTCAACAATTGGAATCATTTCGGCAAGCCTTCATAAGCAATAATTTGGATCAACCTTATACTGAAAGTGAGAACATGGTTGGCAATTCAGACCGACTTGATAGGTCTAACTTCCTTAAGCTGGATGAGAGTTTGAGATCAGTGGAGAGCGTGGTCCAGAGAGTGGAGATGAAGCTGGGACAGATACTCACTTTCCATCAAGAATTCCAGTCAAGGTTGAGTGACTTCATGTCTAAAGTGGACACGATGATTGAGTATCCTGAATCGTTTCAGCAGGCGAGAATTCCCAAGAGACCTTACGTTACAAACGATGTTGATGTTCTCTATAGGATAAGTGCAATTTTGCATGCCGGGACAACCATTCGCTTACACTTGATGTGTGAATCAGCGACTGGGTTTCACAAAGTCAAAGATCAAGAAGGTTTGAACATACGCTTGGATCTGGAAAACCTCATGTGGCTTTGAAAAACTTTTGAAATCTCATGCAAAATCGTGTATTACGCTGTAAAGGCAGGACTGGGAAGTACTCTCAGTTTGAGCCAAGCGATTCCGGATCGGAAAGATTTAGAATCAGATATTGTTAAACTAGTTAGCATTAGCGATCGTGATAGTAGGGCAGTTTGTGGTAACCCACTTTTTGTTTTTCGTCGGAATTAGAACATTTTTGATTAGTAAGTACCGTGGTAGCAGCTGTAAATAGTAATCGGTACGCAAAGCCAGAGTAAAAAGAGGATCGAGGACAGTCAAGGGGTTTTGGGCTTAGGCCACAGTGGAACACTTGGAATGGAACGGGCGGTTCACGCTGCAGGACTCGCTTCGAGCACCTTCGGCGGTAGATCACTCATAACTTCCTCAATTCTTAACGCCTTGAGTTACTTAGGGTTTTGTTGGAAAGAACTCGACGCGCTCGCTCTAACGAGCCCAAGAAAGCCTGGAACGGATGAGGACTCAGGGAGTTGTGACTGTCGGAAGATGCGAAGGACAACGCCTACGGATAGGCGGAAGGAGTTCGTCGTCAGCAGAATATCCACCTTCGGCCCTAGATGTTCGCCTTCGGCGACGGACGTCTTCGGGTCAACTTCAAGTCGGCAAACTCGAGGTCGGAGAACTCGAGGTCGGAAAACTTGAGGTCGGCGAACTCGAGGTCGGAGAACTTGAGATCGGCGAACTCGAGGTCAAAGAACTTCAAGTCAGCAAACTCGAGGTCGGAAAACTTGAGGTCGGCGAACTCGAGGTCGGAGAACTTGAGATCGGCGAACTCGAGGTCAAAGAACTTCAAGTCAGCAAACTCGAGGTCGGAAAACTTGAGGTCGGCGAACTCGAGGTCGGAAAACTTGAGGTCGGCGAACTCGAGGTCGGAGAACTTGAGATCGGCGAACTCGAGGTCAAAGAACTTCAAGTCAGCAAACTCGAGGTCGGAAAACTTGAGGTCGGCGAACTCGAGGTCGGAGAACTTCAAGTCGGAGAACTCGAGGTCGGCGAACTTCAAGTCGGAGAACTCGAGGTCGGAGAACTTGAGGTCGGCGAACTCGAGGTCGGCGAACTTCAAGTCGGAAAACTTGAGGTCAGAGAACTCGGAGTCGGCGAAACATCGTGCGGGCGCCTTCGGCGATAACAGATAACAAGCCTTCGACAGTGTGCCTTCGGCGAAGGATAAAACTGGCATAACTCTTTCAACTCGTAACGGTTTGACTCAGTTAGGGTCTCGTTAGAAAGAGCTTGACGCGCTCGTTCCAACGAGCCCAAGAACTCTTGAAACAGATCAAGGATCTGTGAGTTATGGGTGTCGGAAGTGACTGTTACAAATAGGCAAAGGTGCGGAAGTGCGTCTTCGGCGGTCAACGCCTTCGGAGAACTCAGAGTCGGCGAACTTGAGGTCGGCGAACTCGAGGTCGGCGAACTTCAAGTCGGCAAACTCGGAGTCGGAAAACCGGATGCGGTTCAGAGATCTTGCGGAGTCCATATCTCTGCGATGGACGGTCGGATGGATCTGAAATTTGGTGGGACCGTTGATCTCGGTCGGCCACGCATGCCTGCACATATTCAGCCTCAGATCTCGGATGTAAAGACGCTGGCGGCTCTGTACAGTAGGCTTAGGATTTAGATTTAGGGTTAGGGTTAGATTTAGGTTGTAAGTTAGAGGGGAAGGTAGCCGCCGACTTCTCAGGTGTAGGATCTGTTGCGGCTCGCACCCTAGCGGGTAGTGTAGTGTTAGTTAGGACCTTAGAAGGTATAAAGTAGTTCAAGGCGTTTTGCCTTTTGACTCTTCCAGTTTCGGAAGTGCAGATCAGGAACTCACTTTCTTGGCGTGTTTGTGCATTTGGTCCTGGCACCACGTAGAGAAGCTGCAGCATAGCGAAGTTACCGTATGTTGTAGTTGAAGGCCTTCGGCTGAATGTTCAGAGCTAGTAACCGGTTAGAGACTTGAGTAGTGCGGATCTGCACCTGCGGGTGATTTCTGATACTCAGAGCCGGCTGCGAGTTAGATACTTGAACAGTTCCCCCTTACTCCTTCGAGTGACATATCCTGATTGTACTCCTACGGGAAGTTTCCCCTGAATGCCAATGTGAAGTTTCATTACTTCGTGTAAACCTTGGTTTGTAATTCAGGTTGTGTGTGTGTTACTGGATCGTGTTTTCAGTAAGTTCTCAGTCGGGTCTGCACTCCCTGCGTTTTGTGTGATAGTCGAGGGTGACGTCCACGGCGTACGTAGAGGCTTCGTTCCGAAGTGAGAAGTCCAGTCCGGGTACCCCCGCTAGTTCCTGGCGGAAGGGCAGTAAAAGCCGGAGTGGGAGGCACTTCCTGCAGAACCTCTGAGTGAACTTGCGAGACACTTTCCTCCTGAAATCCGAAGCGGAGGTCCTGACCGACCTCCGAGTTGTGCTTTTTGCCAGTTTCAGGTGTGTGTGTGTGTGTGTGTTGAGTGACCAAGCTGTACCGTGCATCCTCCGAGCATCCTCCGAGTTGAGTTCCTCCTCCGAGTCGAGCCTCCGAGTCGAGCACTACAGTATTTCTGGGAGTGACAGTCGCCTAGAATTCAAACTCTACCAAAAGTCTGTTAAACGTGACACTTTTACTCTGTGTGTTGCCTCTGTCCCTGTGGGTTCGATCTTTTTACCACCATACTGCAGTTTTAGCCTTTGGTGGGTTATTACACAGTTCTAAAAGGTGGGGAAAGCATGGAGCTAAAAGAAGCATGGCTGAGGATTCAGCAAACTCTTGCGCCTCAGCTTCGAGATAGCTATTCGCCAAAATTCAAGTTGTTTAGGTGAAATACTTGAGTCTAGAATTAGGTGGGCATGCATGGGTGTGCGAGGAGTGCATGCATAAAGGTCTTCGTTCTGGCATATTAGGAATTTGAAGAGGTTAGAATGTCACTATGCAGTTGACAAGCATATGTTTAGACCCTCATGCAATATCAGCATCTGCGAAACCTTCCTTAGGGTTTTCACTTCTACCAAGTCTTTCAT